AAATTAACTAGTATGAGAAAGTCTGTGCCATTCTGTAGCACTACTAGATTCATTTATTAAAATGGATTTTATGAACTTTTTGTACAATTTCAATAAAAGTAAAAAACGGTCTCCATCCATAAATAGGAAAGCATCTGACAAATATGGGGAACAAATCACGTCATATTATAGAAATTTGTCTGATTTCTTGGATCTTCTTTTGACCGTTTTATTAAAAAATCGCTTTAGTATAATTTAGCAACAACTAAACCTTTCACACAAATAAATAAACTTCACCGAAAGAATCTGTACTCAAACAATTGATAAATATTGATAATGAAATAACCTTTTTTTTTCATCTCGAAACAACGCCTGACAAATTGAGATCATGTACCTCCTTACCGTCAAAGCATCCATAATCTGTCTCCGACCTGCAATCACCGATCAGCCAACGACCATGTTAGCGTGAAAACCGCGTATTGATGACACGCACTGGCATAGGCACAGCAATTGTGTTTCGTCGCACGTTCAAAGCATGCACTGCTCCGTCTACCGTACGCACAACACAGCGGGGAAAGACTGCAGGCGGGTGTGCTTCCTATGACGCGAACTTGCACTGCACAAACTGGGGCAGTGTTTGTGTTGTCTTCAAGGCAACATGCATTGTTGCGTCATCGCCACGGCTTCTTGGATCGCGGTGAGCGTACCATTGCCGCGACCTACTTGACAGGCGCTTCGTGAATTTGCTGCGCTTTGCCTATTAAGAATGTAAGCGATGATGTGAAAGTAAATGCAGGTCATGAAGATTAAAAACAGAAAAAGATATTTGGTAAATTGCAGCGTCTCATGAGATATATGTTGAGGAAAATCGATAAGCGAAAAAGCAAATGACAAAGGGGTTGAACGGGGGGAAGGGAAATGAACAAAGGGGAAGAAGTTGAACGTAAATTTCGTCTATCGTTCTAAATTTCTTCTAAAACTTCTCTCTATGCACAGAAGGTTCACATGTATAAAAAAGTAAAAATAAATATTTATATTATTATTATTATTATTATTATTATTATTATTGTTATTATGTGTTGAAGAAAATGTTACATTTCCGACCATCTTCCTGACCCATTTCTCTCTATATAATCATATATTAATTCAATTTTGGGAATATCAATTTTGGAGGAAATGGGCTTGACGGTTTAGCCGCTAGTGTTGTTCACAGACGGACGGATTGACGGACATGCATACGTTTTTCCGTCATTCTATTTTTCGGTATCAAGGGCCCACAAAAGTGGATTCCGGCTACATAGTAGTGGATTTTTTTTCTAAATTTAGCAACTGGATTTATCCACTTTTTCGTTACCAGTGTCCTCCAATAAGAGTTTTTCTCCGAAAATTCGCCGTTTTTTGTGCAGCATTACATAACTTTCTCTCTACTCCATAGTGGAAAAAAAATAGGATATGAAAGGAAAAATAATATTATTGTGGTTTAGATAAATTGGAAATTTAAGAAACAAAACACATTGTATAAAATATGAGTGTATTTCATCATTCAATCATACATGTATGTACAAGCATTCATCGCATTAATTGATATACACGATTTTACCATCATCAGCAGCAGCATATTCTGTCTTTGACAGTGGCTATTCATTGCAATAGCCACTGAAAAATCAACAGAGAGATACTGCTTAACAAGCTATTTTGATGCATCAGACACATTACGAATAAGAATCATATCTCGTATATCTAAGGAAATGTCTTCACTTTACTAATAAATAGATATTTATGTCTATTAGTATTATATTAAAGAAATAAATATTTCTGCATTGGCTGCGGCAAAATAAGCGCATGGATTATATAAATATTTACCCGACATTCTACATTGCATAACAATAGCCTTACTTCTAACACGGCGCTTGAATGCTAAAAGCAAAGCTTAATATTATTTGAAGGCAATCACATAAGAAAATTAGTTTTGAATAGTTTTGATTGTGAAATGTTAAAAAAAGCAGGGAAGTATTGAATAACAAGTAAATAGTTAATAGCCAAGAAAAAGTATCCTTCTCATTCAAACTTGAGAAGATCAAAAATCACAACTAATGGCTCTAAATAGCATCTTTTTCCACTATAAACGGAACTCGTATTAATAGAATTTTGACAAGTCTACAAATAAAATGAACATTTTAAAAGTTGGGACTATTGAAACAGAAAGGAGGGGTTTGCGATGTCACCTTTCCACCTAAAAAAATATTGTAATAGTTAAGTATAGAAATAACGCCAAATATTAATAGAATAGTGGAAAACACTACGGGTATACTAAAGAAAAAAGGAAGTTTCTACAAAATAACATTTTTTTTATTTATATGGAAACTGCTGATATTAGCTACACATTTTGAAATGAATTATTATTTCTATGGTTGATCTTGATCGGTTTTATATTTTACTGATTTAAATTACTTAAAAAAGTGTCCTATCATTTGGATATACATGATACTGAAATTCTTAATAAATGTCAAATTATTTATATATGAGTATGTGTGTGCATAAAATATTATTTAATGTGTCACGTTTCAAAAAAATATTTTTAATAGTGAAGTGGGCGCACACAGAACTTTGAATAAAGCGACATTAGCATCAACGTCAGCATTTTATCAACCACACATTGTGAGCATCTATCAGCGATATCGTGAATCCAGATTTTCATCACCTCTGCAAGCACGGAATAGCGCCCCCAGCGGGGTCTTAGCAGACAAGAAATAAGCGTTAATCGGTTCCCACCCCGGCGAGTGCCGCTTTTGCCGCAGCCAGTGCAGTCTGACTTCCCGCGGCGCGCGTTTCCACGGCGACTCGAGACAAACAGGCCGTGGCGAAAGTGGACTTCATCAACCACGGCCGCTGAGTTATCAAGAGCCAGCCAGGAAACGCTCGCTGCCTCACTACACGTCATTTCGCCCTAGACTACGCAAACGCACCTGAGTGATCGTTTACCTCTCCATTATTGAATGCCGTTTTGCAGAATTTGTGGAGTCAACATTTGGAATTCTACAAGCCATTTCTTTCTTTAAAGTCACAGTATCGAACGATGTAATTATTACGTTATACATGACATTAGTCTATTTTATAGGATTTTAATTTCTTTTTCTCTTTTTGCCCTACACTGTAATTTGAAATACTCGTAGAAGCAGATACATATTTACAAGAAGAAATAATACGTTTTTCAAGATAAGCAGGTTTCCAGGAAAAACACGAGTAATGAAGCTTTTAGAAACCAAACATTATTCTATCTTTTAAGATATTTCCGGGCATCAAAGAGTTCCACTCAGGTGTGTTTCGTGTGCCACAGCGATTCTTAGCGGAGAATACCGTGGTCATACTCGACGTGGAATCTGCAGAAATTCTGCAACAGAGCACATGTATTAGGTACATAACTGCCTTTATAGCTCGACGGTTAGTTCCATATTGTGAATACGTTAGCTTACCATGACCACTAGATAAGCGAAAATGGAAAAACTTTGTAAGGCACAAATGCGCTGACAGGTAATCTAATCTACACACGTTGTTTACTATGTAATACAACTCATGAAGTAAGAAAATAACTCTTACGACGATAAAAATAAACCTGCTCACCAACCTGAGTTAGACATTTGATTCCTCAGTTTAAAAGTCTCTTTACTACTTGTACGCTATTATAAAATACATATTCGATAGTATTTAACGCTACGTTCGTGATACTCAACGTTTGCACTTCGAGTTTCTTCATCGATGATGCAACCCGTCTCACGTAGAGAGCACCCACAAGTTAAGTGTGTGGACGGTGGTGACGTTTGGAATAATTTGCTAAGATACATGCCCGATCATCAGACGTGACGTTTTAAAAGTCTCTTGAAACATATTCTAACTAACGTATTGGATATGCTCAGAGTGTGTTCATAAGCAGGCGAAAATGAGATCACATCAGAAACGTTAATTTGCATGTAAATTAAGAGAATTGTTCTTAGACAAATAATTCCTGCTGTGATATTAAAAAAATGTTGACAGCTTTCAGCACCGTTCCAACACATGAAAGTAAATGTTAAAAAAACTCTCGAGGACAACCAATGAAGATTGATGAGAACATCGGCACTTTCTGGTCACCATATCGAAAATACGTGTTAAGACAGCGTTGTAGTAACTAGTTACTTCGCACATCGAACCCAAAAATTATTTATTTTCGTGATGTGAGAAAAGCCTTCTACTTCTGTTGTCTTCGCTTGTTCCGTCCTCCAGTTTTTTCGTCCCCGATGTGTTCATTTCGGCCCGTCATCCACATGGAGAATTATGGCTACAAGCCGGAATAACATAATCGATGGCCATCACTAATTTCCATGGAAAAGATATCAACAGATCCTGCATAAAACCTTCTAGAAATATACGCTTACATAATATTAAAAATGATTTCATTATTTACTGTTAAAGTACAATTTAAAAAATATAGTTTTTGCTTTTTAGAATCCCATTGCCTCAACAACTAGATTCATTTTCATCGTTTCGAAATTCAAAAAAAATCGTTCTTGAGAAAACTATTTACTCTATCCCTCGCTTTGTACTAGATCTGTCAAATAACAAATACTACAAAAACTAATTCTGTAAAACTGTTAATGGGTTGAAAGATTTTCTTTTAAAGGCTTCTTATTTGGAGAAACATCGAAGGTTTTACCCCAAAATGTATATTACATTATCTAATTTTGGAGAACAATAAAATGAGTATCAAAGCTAAGGGTTTCCCGAGTAAATTAATTGTACTGTAGTCGTTTAAAACGTTAAACTACTTAATTTCTCAACTTTTCTTCCGACTGATTTGGAAATGAATGAAAACTCTTTCTTGATTTGGAACTCTTTCTTGATTTGGAAGTGAATGAAATGTCTGCTATCCAAAGAATGATAAAGCAAGAGCTCTCAAGCGTTGCCCGGTCATCATCACAGGACCTGCGTATCTCGACGCCATCGAGGAGGGCGAGGGTGTGGAGGGGGCGTGGCCCGCGGGGCGGTCAGGGCGCGGCGGGGGCGGGCGCGGGTCGCAGCGCGCGCTGGCCCAGGTTCCGCGTCTCGACCGGCGGGCCCGAGCCGCCGGGCAGGCGCCAGGGCGGGATGTTGGGGGCGTCAGCGTCGTAGCGGCCGCGCAGACAGGCCGGCAGCTTGTGCACCCGCTCGCAGCGCCGCGACACGTCCCAGAAGGCGTAGCCCTCGGGGCACTGGTACAGCTGGCCCGTCATCCGGCCGCCCGGAGCTCGCCAGCAGCGGTAGAATAGGTGGCAGTCGCCCTCGAACGGGAAGAAGCCCACCGATGGGCACAGAGGCTTGTCGTCTCGGATGGGCACCTGTGGGCACGAACAACACAACTTCATCAACATCACAGATAATTAAATAATGTAATATACATTTTGGGGGAAAACCTTTGATGATTTTCCAAATAAGAAGCCTTTAAAAGAAAATAAAAGCTTTCATCACACGAACAGTTTTGCAGAATTAGTTTTTTGTAGTATTTGTTTTGACAGATCTAGTACAAAGCTAGGGATAGAGTAAATAATTTTCTCAATAACTATTATTTTGAATTATTTCGTTTTGAGAACGTCATATTCAACGTGACAAAACACTATTTTTTGAATTACTTTTTATTATTTTGGGAAATAGTATAAACTTTTGCAGAAAGGCTACAAAATTCGTCAGAACAGAATTAGAAATTGGTTCAAGAATGTATTGATATTAAATTTTCTTTAATAAATTCTCTTCTCTTTGTACGAAATTAGTACTGTAATTAAATTAATTAATCAATTACTGTACTCAGATTGATGAATTACGTACCAAATATTTCAGTAACAAATCACAAACAATTAACTGCATTGTCAAAATAATGAATGAAAGAACTACAAACTTATTATTTTCATACGTGACTTTTTGAATGAGCTGAATCAATTCGTTTTATTTTAAAACATTTTTGGTACTTTTATGGTCTACAGCGTGTACTTAATTTAAAAGAGAAATGAAATAAAAGCACACAATTATTATTAATAAATTATTCTAAAATGAAAAATGAAGAATTTTAAAATTAAATAAAAGGGAAGGTACACAAGGTTTTTCACAGTTTAATGAGTCTTCAATTAGTTTGTCATTATTATACAGTGCTTTGAACGGCATGTTTGTTCACAACAGTTTTCAAAGAAGAAATTTAATTAAAAATATATAAAATCAAATGATTATGATATATTTAGTTTACGTTCGTAAATTTTGCAAGGAAGCCAAAGAAAATAAATGCTTGTGACGTAAGAACTTTGAAGTATTTTTAACTGTTACGTTATAGCTCGTTATTGCCCTCGATCCGCTGCTCGATAAATACAGCTTAACTTACCTGAATCGAGAGGATCATGGTTACGAGGGAAACTGAATGATGCTTGATGATCTCTTATGGCGGGCATTATGAGAGGCAATTATGAAAGAAAATTACGGGAGGGAAATATGAAAAGACAAGCCCAGTCAAGTAAACATCTAGTTAATTAGTAAATAAATTTGAATCAATTGAATTTAGTAAAAAATAATATTAGGAATGTACCATCTAGTTAATTAGTAAATAAATTTGAATCAATTGAATTTGCTAAAAAATAAAATTAGGAATATACCACGGACGTTAAGTGGCTCTAATGATCGAGCGACAATAAAATGCCCGCGGTCCCTTGGCCTGATGACTTTTTGCCGTCGTTCGATCATTAGAACATCAGGCCAAAGGCCCTCGGGCATTTTGTCACCGCTTGATCATTAGAACCCTTATAACGTCCTTGGTGCGTAAAGAAGCATTTGCGTACCGGCGGCATCCCGTCTCCGTCCTCCACGCGCCGTCGCTGCGGGCCGCGGCGCAGAGCGGTGGTGCACGGCTCGGCCTCCTCGGGCCGGGAGCACTGCACCTGCTTCTCGTCGTACACCAGGTCCTGCGGGCACGAGAAGCTGAGCACCTTCATCTCGGAGCCGTCGCGGTTCTGCGTGCACTGGTAGAACATGTTGCAGTAGCGCGGGTGGCGGCGGAAGCCCGACGGGCACACGATGGCCACCTGTCCTTCCTCGAGGTCGCCCACCGGGCACGCGCCGCCCGGCGAAGTGCCGTTTGTGGGCGGCGCGTCCGTCGACTCCGCGGGAGATGACGTCTCTTCGCCGCCCGTCTCCGGCGAGGCGGTGGTGCCTCCGGAGCTGTCTGTTGGTGGGGGGTTGGTGCTGTCGGTGGGTGGGTTGGTGCTGTCGGTGGGTGGGTTTGTGCTGTCGGTAGGTGGGTTTGTGCTGTCGGTAGGTGGTTTTGTGCTGTCGGTGGGTGGATTGGTGCTGTCGGTGGGTGGATTGGTACTGTCTGTAGGTGGATTTGTGCTGTCTGTAGGTGGATTGGTGCTGTCAGTGGGTGGGTTCGTGCTGTCGGTAGGTGGATTCGTGGTGTCTGTAGGTGGATTGGTGCTGTCAGTAGGTGGGTTTGTACCGTCGGTGGGTGGGTTCGTACTGTCGGTTGGAGGATTCGTGCTGTCAGTGGGTGGGTTTGTGCTGTCGGTTGGAGGATTCGTGCTGTCAGTGGGTGGGTTTGTGCTGTCCGTCGGGGGATTTGTGCTGTCGGTGGGTGGGCTAGAAGAATCGGTTGGAGGTTGTGTTGTTTCTCCAGTGGAGTCAGTCGGAGGCTGCGTCGTCTCGGACCCATCTGTACTGGGAGGCTGCGTGCCATCCGTTGGCGGTTGGGTAGTTTCAGTGGGAGGTTGAGTTCCGTCGGTTGGTGGTTGAGTTCCGTCAGTTGGTGGTTGAGTTCCATCGGTTGGTGGTTGAGTTCCGTCGGTTGGTGGTTGAGTTCCGTCGGTGGGCGGTTGAGTGCTATCAGTGGGCGAAGGAGTGGATCCTGTTTCACTCTCTGACGGGGGTCCACCCTCCTCGCCTCCCGTCTCCGGGGGCCCCTCTGTCTGACCTGTCGTCGTGCCCTGTGTAGTTGACGTAGGTGGAGTGGCAGAGCTGGACTCTTCCGCCGGCGGTCCGTCACCGCCGTCTCCACTACAATCGCGCGGCGGATACACGCTCTCTTCGTGGTTGCAGTTGCCCAACGATGGGTCGAAGATGGTGCCTTCGGCGCAGTCGAAGTGGTAGATTGAGAAGCGCTCGCCTTTATCGCCGTCCCAGTCGACGCAGCGGTAGAACTTTTTACAGTCAGTGGGGTGAGGATAATAACCAGCCTGCTTACATTCAAACTTCGGCTTCTTGGGCTTTTCCTTTTCCTTGTTATCACATGGCGTTCCCGATCCGCTCGATGATTCGGATCCGGAGCTTGGTGATTCGGATCCGGAGCTTGGGGATTCGGATCCGGAGCTTGGGGATTCGGATCCGGAGCTTGGAGATTCGGATCCGGAACTAGGAGATTCGGATCCGGAGCTTGGAGATTCGGATCCGGAGCTGGGAGATTCGGATCCGGAGCTTCCGCCAGTTTCTGCTGGAGGAGCGGATTCGCTCTCGTCGGGTTTGCTTCCGGCGTCTGGAGCTTGCGTTGTCGCGCTCGGGCTGGGAGTCATTGGAGATGTGCCACTTCCGCCTTGGCCCTGGTTTTGTGATCCTGAACTCGACTGTTCGCTGCCCGATGAGGACGACGACGACGAAGACTCGTTACCGCTTGAGGATTCGCTTCCTGATGTTTGACTGCTTTCACTACTTCCGGATGACGTAGATTGGCTACTACCAGACTGGTTTTCCGATGTAGATGTCTGGCTACCAGAACTGGTAGATGATTCGTTACTTCCAGACTGACTTTCAGAGGTGGTGGAGGATTCGCTACTTCCTGACTGACTTCCAGAAGTAGTGGAGGATTGACTGCTTTCAGACTGGTTTTCGGATGTTGATGATTGACTACCACTTGTGGTAGAGGTTTGGCTGTTCTCCGAAGACGATGAGCTGCCAGAGGTGGTTGACTGACTTCCACTAGAAGATGAACTTGATTCACTACCACTAGTTGTGCTAGTCGATTCGCCACTAGATGAAGATTGATTATTTCCTGACTGCGTTGAAGAACTGCTTCCAGACGACGTGGACTGATTGTTGTCTGAAGAACCGCTGGATGTAGTGGACGTCTGGCTGCCTTGTGATTGCGAACTCTCAGAAGAGGACTGCGAACTTTCAGATGAAGAAGTAGATTGCTGGCTGCTTTCTGATGATGATTCTGATGAAGAAGTGGTAGAGCTGCTTTCCTGGTTACTGCTGCTGCTACTGCTACCGGAAGTAGTCGTGGTGGTTGTAGAGCTACTACTAGATTGTTGAGAGGAACTGTTGGACGATTCATGATGTGATGATGTCGTGGTGCCTGAACTAGTAGTAGTTTGAGAAGAGCTACTAGAACTCGAGGAGCTGCTGGAACTACTAGAACTGCTAGATGTTGTTGTTGTCGATTGCTGTCCGCTAGACGACTGTCCGGTGGAAGATGTCGTGGACCTTATTGCCATGGAAGAGTCAGTGGTAGCTTCTTCGTTGCCAGAGTCGCTCCCGCCGGTGCGGCAATCCGATCGTTTGACGGCCCAATCATGATTGCAGACATTGTTATCTGGGTCCCAAACAGTACCTTCCGCACAGTCGAAGTCGTAGCGTGTGAAACCTCCTTGACCGTTGTCTACGCAGCGGTAGAACTTCTTACAGCGCCCAGGAACCCCTCGGAAGCCTTCTGAAGTGCACTGGCCGTCTTCTGTCCCCATGCTCATGTCGGAGCCTTCTGGAGAGCTAGAAGGCTCAGTAGCAGTATCTTCTGAAGATGGTGTGGTAGCTGGCTGGCCGTCGGTAGGGCGCGTAGGAGGTTGTGTTGCACCAGGACTCCCGCCTTGACCACCTTCGCCTGAGCCTCCACCATCTCCAGGACTGCCAGGACTACCAGGGCTACCAGGACTACCTCCTTCCCCAGGTGCGCCACCTTCTCCAGGGCTTCCCGGACTACCTCCTTCGCCAGGACTACCTTCTCCAGGACCACCCGGGCTTCCTCCTTCTCCAGGGCTTCCCGGACTACCTCCTTCGCCAGGACTACCTTCTCCAGGATTACCCGGGCTTCCTCCTTCTCCAGGGCTTCCAGGACTACCTCCTTCTCCAGGACTTCCCGGACTACCTCCTTCTCCAGGACTTCCCGGACTACCTCCTTCTCCAGGAGTTCCAGGACTACCTCCTTCTCCAGGACTACCTCCTTCTCCAGGACTACCTGCTTCTCCAGGACTACCTCCATCTCCAGGACTACCGCCGTCTCCAGGAGTTCCACCTTCACCAGGGCTTCCATTTGGATCTCCTGGGGTCCCACCTTGACCAGGGCTTCCATTTGGATCTCCGGGGCTCCCACCTTGACCAGGGCTTCCATTTGGATCTCCGGGGCTTCCACCTTGACCAGGGCTTCCATTTGGATTTCCGGGGCTCCCACCTTGACCCGGACTTCCATTAGGATCCCCAGGACTACCACTGTCTCCTGAACTACTACCGCCTTCGCCACCTTGAGGGATTTCGTTGGAGCTGTCACCGCCCGAACCACAGCCAGCTCTTTTGACAGCCCACTTGTGGTTGCAAACGTTGTTATCCGTGTCCCAGACAGTTCCTTCACCACACTCGAAATCGTAACGAGTGTAGCCGTTGCGGCCTCCACCGGCTACGCAGCGGTAGAACTTTCTACAGTCTTTAGGATTTGGGAAGAATCCCTCTCCGGAACATTCACCGCTTTCAGAAGCGCTGTCTCCGGGGCTTCCACTAGTTTCCGGGTTACTACCACTATTATCAGCAGAACTTTCACTATCGCTGGGGCTTCCTTCTCCGTTAGAACTGCCATCACCATTCGGACTGCCTTCACCCCCTGAACTGCTTTCATCTCCAGTACTACCTCCAGTATTGTTTTCATCTCCAGAACTACTTTCGTCTCCAGCATTGTTTTCGTCTCCGGTACCGTTTTCGTTTCCGGTACTGCTTTCGTCTCCAGTACCGTTTTCGTTTTCGGGACTGCTTTCGTCTCCAGTACCGTTTTCGTTTCCGGTGATGCTTTCGTTTCCAGTATTATTTTCACCTCCAGCACCACTTCCATTCGCCGGATTGGAATCTTCTGATCCAGGAGTACTACTTGGTTCGTTACTGCTGCCACCCTGTCCCTGTTGACCGGATCCGCCGCCTTTGCCGCAGCCATCCCGCTTGATGTCTCGTTCGTGGTTGCAGACGTTGTTTTCGGTGTCCCACGCCGTCCCCTCGCCGCATTCGAAGTCGTAGCGCGTGTAGCCGCCTCGCCCTGAGCCTGCCACGCACCGGAAGAACTTGCGACAGTTCTTCGGGTGCGGGAAGAAGCCCTCGCCCGTGCACTCGCCGTTGGACGACGAGTCAGAAGCCGCTTCGTCCGACATGGGGCCGTCCACCTCGTTCACTTCATCGTCTGCCATCGGCTGAAAACGGAAAATTTATTTTAGAGCTTTGTCAATCCCTGTGGGTGTGACTTGCGTAATGCACGGTTTACCCCTTACAATAACATATACTTTTTTGAGATCGAAGGAAAGGAGTCCCAAGATGATTTATAGACAGACAGAACTCTTCTCAATTAAGTTTTATTCGAAGTGTTGTGTGTGTGGTTTACTGTTTATATGTGTATTTTTTCCTGAGGATGTGGAAAATATGTCCCCAAAACTGTCGCGCAATCGAGTAATTGTAACATACAGATGTAATAAAACTAAATTGAGAAGAGTTGTGTGTGTCTATAAATCATCTTGGGACTCCTTCCCTTCAATCTCAAATTTACAAGAGACAGGCTTATTTCTACCTTTGCAAGAATATAATTTCTTTCGGATACAATGCATTTCAAACACTCTATTTTGTTAAAAGAACACTTAGTACGATAACATTCATAATATTTTGGGCTTTAAAAATATAATTGTATATGCAGGTTGATTCACAATAAATGTTACAAACTTCTAGAGACCTCGTAGTGAGTCGAAGATGACATCTTTTTGTCAATTAACACATAGGTAGAAATATTTTACAAGGAAGTTACATTGAAACATTTGCTCCTAATTGACGGACAACTTTTTCTGCTTTGGTGTTTTGCAAGTACAAATTAAAACGCTATCAAATAGAATTACCAAACACTAATACAAGATGAACCGCCTGTCAGAGGGCAAAGGTTACGTGTGTGACTTTTTTATATGGGATTAATCACATGATCACTGTCAACATGTCAATTTTGATCCCAATATGCACTAGAAGTTTGTAACATTTATTATGAACCGTCATGAATATTGTGATTATTAATTAACACACAGTTCTTGCAAATTGGTGACGCTTATTTATTAAATTATTTCAGTCACATTTTTGGACCATTTTCGAGGCTGAATGACACAAAAGGGTCAACACAGTTCACCGTGAATACAGTGAGGATTAATTTAAAATGTTTTTAGAATAATTTTTACAGAGACGTTTCTTAGAACTGTGTTTTAATTAATTCTAAAATGGCGGAGAATACACATCTTAGTAATGATGATTGATTATATATTTTCATAAGTCTCCTTCAACCATGATTTCTACATGCATTCATTAGTCGCTCATATCATCAACCTCGAAGAAATTAAATTTACCTTCCTAGCCCTTGTATTACATCCGCTAAGCTGCGCTGCGCGGGACTCACCGGTCGCAGGCCTGCCTTCAGCGTGGTGGCTTCGTGTTGCGGGTAGTAGGGCCGCTGGGGGAGGGTGGCGGGCGTGGGCGCGCGGGGCGGGCGTAGCGGCGGGCGGGGCGGAGGAGCAGCCGGAGCGTGCGGCGGCGCCCGCGCCTGTTTGCAGGGCGGTGATGCCCGCGCGGGTCGTAGACGTGCCCCAGCGGCCGCCAGCGGAACTCGTAAGGCGGTGAGCAGGCGCCCCGCTGCGGCGCCCCGGCTCGCCCGGTGCCCGGACACGCACCGGTAGTAGAACACGCTGCAAAGTCGGACGCGCGTCCGGTAGAAGCCCTCCCCGGCAGCGGAACAGCGGCGCCCACGGCCCCTGGCGACCTGGGGAAGCGAACGAACCGCTCAGACACGCAGCCACTTCACAAAACACACTCAAGCGCGTTCGCCTTACGTAGAACATTTTATTTTACATAACTGACGAATAATTAATATAAATATTAATAAAATTTAAATTTCTTATATTTTTAAAATAAAACTTTTCCCTTTTTGTGTTCTTCTCTTCTTCCTCTTCTTACTTCTTTGTCTTTCTTGAAAAGTCTTATGACTTGATTTGCGCTGTCCAGGTGACGCCGCCGTTTTGATGACTGAGGTGCCCACGTTTCGACCCACATACCGCAATTCAAATAAAATCTCGGAAGTATATCCAAAAATACGCCGATCGGTTTCCAAACCCTCTTGCCCCCAAAACTATTCGAATTAGCATTTTATCCTTCAACCACAGATACCGCCCCAACGCGTATACAGTATGTATTTTATGTATGTAGTATGTATTTGCGCTGACAGTCCGTAAAACGCCGGCTCAGCGACTACCAGCCGAAATTAACACCAATACAATCAATTAATTTTATCTTTATTATTGATTTAAGCATTTTAAAATTTCCATCGTGGTTATTAACTTTGCACATCGCCATTGGAGCTTCTGATTCTTATTCCGCGAGCCAAAAAATAAAGAAAGGTAAGTTTATTTATTTGACTAAATAGTTGTTTATTTAATTTATTTAACGGTCAAAAAACAGTTAAAAACTGCGGTGACATGCAATGGCGGGAGACGTTAATTATGTCCAGAGAAAAAACAAGCGCCATATCAGCATGTGGCGAGGATCAGGGAAAACTGAAAGAAAAACCTGATCGCAAGGATGGGGCGTCAGGGACTCAGAACTAAATTACAATACTTATTAATTGGATCGCTGGTGCAGGTAGATACCTTTTTATTATATGATAAATAAATTAAAGATGATCGTTCTGGTATCAATACTTTTTATTCAGCTTATGATCGTTTCGAATCGCGTAAGCCGAATCAAATCCCCTCCAGAGCTTGCCCAAGCTTCTGGCCCGAAAAACAAAAAGTTCTCTGCTTCTGCCTAGAACTTTGTTTTCGGCCCAGAAGCTGCAAGCTCTGCAGGATGATCGCTACGCGATCGAAACGATCATAACTGAATAAAAAGTATTGATACCAGACAATATCTTTATTTATTTATTAAAAATACTTATTACAGGTTCTTTACAATATACCCAATCCCAAATGATATATAATACATTAAATGTCATTGTTAAAATTAATATTACTTTCCTTTTGGATGTTCAGTAAAGACTCTACTTGTATAGAAACAGTTGTGCAGCAGAAAATATTTTACTTGGGTCTTAAATTTTTGTACGGAATTTAATCGTTTCACGTCATCTGGCAAGGTGTTGAAAAATAATGTACATGTATTTTATTTGATTTTTTTGTACTAAGCTGTTGATACTGTCACCTGATGAATGTGATTACTACGTCGAGTGTTGTAGTTATAGACCACGGCGTTTGCTGAAAATATTTTCCTGTCCTTAAGTAAGTCATTTTTGACAAAAATCACTGTTTCACATATTAAAAGACAAGGTAATGGTAAAGTAACTAGATTAATAAAGAGAGAATGTATCAACAACTAACACGAGGGAGGTAAACGTTGCAAAGAAATGCAACCGTTTAAACTGAGAGTTCCAGTAATGATTATCTTCTCCCCCATACGTCACATACATTTTTTTACTGTTTCAACAAATCTAAATCTAATGGTCCTCTGCGCACGGTCGAGGAGACAACAATGAACGCGCGTATTGGGCTGTGAAATTAACTCGGGTGCCAAGAGGTTACCATTATTATAAAATACACAATTGTAGCTTTGTATGGCGCCTCCGACGGGTATTTTCATGAAAAAAATTATTGTGGTTTGCAAGTTCGTAACAAAAATAAAATTTAAACATATTACTATTGTGCTGTTTGTCCATCTTGTGCATAGAAAGTTACATGCAAAAATCGATTAAAATGCTTGTTTAAATTTTCTTTATTACAAAATTAGGTTTAGTTTTAGGGGTATTATGAGTGAAGTAGTAACGATTCATGTAAATCCCGGAAAGAGAATATCGTAATTCATAGCGTTTCATCATTGTATTCTTAGGTGCATTTAAACAAGCAAAAACCCGTGCGTTTTAGAATTTCTCTAGAATGTTATAGAGAGAAACGGTTAAACATTGTCCCAATCGATTTGTCCTGGCGAGAGGAATTGAATAAGCTGTAGATCACCTCTGCAGGTGCAGTAAGCCTTCCAAAACGTGCTTTATTTACTACAAAACATTTTTCCGACAAAACCTCTTAGAATATTTTAAATGAATCCCCAAAAACGGTTAGCTCCCCACCAGCAGACCGAGACCCGTCGAAAGACACCTCATTTATTTCGATTGGCGGCCCATAAGAGTAACGAACAGACGGGTGGACGGACGTAGGTTACTCGATTTGTGTACAAGAATGTGCTCATTTAATAGCAAAATGAAAACTAAACGGGTCGTATTGCTTTAAGAGTCCGAAATTCTGTACTTTTAACGAAATTCAGCGAACCACGAGATCCCAGCTCAATTGACCCAGAACAGCGCGAGGGTGCTCTCTCAAGGCCCATTCACAATGCAAACGTAAACATAAGCATAGCGCATAGACACAAACATTAACATTAGTGATAGACAGTCAAGTATTCACAATGTCTAACATAAAAGCAAAATAAGAGTTTCTATTGGCTGGGAGATATTCTAGTTGTACTAGTAGGAAGTGAAAATCGATTTCGAGGTATCGACTGTGTCCATAGCCCATATGTCGTTAGTTCTTCTATCGACTTCGATTCTATTTCGGTTCTAGATTTTGAGTTATTGTTCTGTGATTGGTTCATTTCTTATGTATTAATTAAGCGTAAGCACAGAAACTTAAAGCTTGCTAGCTTTAAGTTAACGACCTACGCGTTATGCTTTGGCGAACGCGTTGTAAATGAGTTCGCTTATGGATGTAGTCCGAACTTTTATGTTAACGCCATGCTTATGTTTACGTTTGCATTGTGAACGGGCCTCTACTAACCACCGCCCGGCTCGCCCTGTCAGCGACCGCTATTCGCATGGGGCCTCGGGCGAAACCCGATGGCCTCATTGATCACGATAGCCGCCCGGGCCCGCACGCCCACCCGCCCCCGCCCGCACCGCGTGACAGGCGGTGGCCTCGAGCAAGGGACCGGTTCCCTCACCGGCGCTCTCCATCCATCACCCGACGCCGCCTTCACTGCCTGAGATGGATTTTCAGCAACGGAGCTCAGATGCACGCGGTGGCTGCATTGGTCGGCGACGCGGAAGAGAACCTCCACTGCTACCAAACGGCGTCGGGGATGTCCGACTTTGAAAATTAGACTTAGAAAAATTAAAATTTTCTCTTAGTGCCCCCAGTTCTTGCCGTAACAATTTTTTTAAATCTGGAAAGCATTGACACAAAGTTTAAGAAATTAAGGTACAAGACTATGTGTTTTTATATTATCGTTCGCCGAAGATTCGGGTCGCGTCACCCAGGGAGGCGAGGGCTCGGTTGCCGGACGAAACGCTGACTCAACTCCCGTGCTAACGTACGGTAACTATTGCTGCGCTAATCTTACCTTAAAGAAGATGCTGAAAACAGTAACTTTCGGCTCGAATGCATTCTTGGCACCTACGCAACATATTCTGGTTCTCTTTTCTGAAGAAGCTTGGTTTCACCTGAGTGGATACAACAGATATATCCACTTCTATTGGAGTGCAGAAAACACTCACCTGTTTCACGAAGAGCAATGTGCGTTGAGTTTTACAAGAATTAGTAAGGACCTTCTTTTTTAATACAACCTTTACTGTTGTTTACATAAATTAGATATTGGCATTATTCTTTGAACAATTGACACCACAAGAAAGGCTCTATTATTATTTTCAACAGGATACGGCAACTGCTTACTGCTAATCTACCCATGAAATGTTTAAATACAGTTTATAGTGACGATAAAATAATTCGTCCTGATTTATGGTATCCTAGATCACCTGATCTGATCCCCTGGCACCTTTTTCTTCTGGAGTACTTAAAAGATCAGAAAATCCGCATTCGATGACAGCTCCGGGGCTTATTGAAGAGGAAATCGCAGCAATTCCTTGAGACTTACTTCAACGGTAAATAGAACATGTTCCAAGATATGCTCCACATAGGTACCAAGAATGCATTCGAGCCGAAGAACACCATTTTCAGCATCTTCTTTAAGGTAAGATAAGCGCAGCAACAGTTGCTGCATGTCAGCACGGGAGTTGAGTCAGCGTTTCGCCCGGCAACCCAACGTTTGCCTCCCCAGGCGACACGGCACGAATCTTCGGCGAACGATAAAATCAACATCCGGCAGTTCTCAAAACGCGATGTAATGCTCTCAAAAAGCGGATCACAATAGTATAAGTAAAGTTTGGAGTAAACTCAGTGGTTACCGCAGAACTCTTATAGAAATCCACATTGATGGGTAAAAGGAAATAATCTTGCACAATGTGATAGATTTCTTCTATTAACCATTCCATATCGTTAAAAGTATTTAAAGAGATTTTAAATACTTTAAAGAGAGACTTGGAAATTGCTATTTCCTAGACTTTGGTAAGTACTTGTAATTTGCATTAATGTTAGCAAAATTTTCTTGTTCATGCTTCTATTCAGCTGATCATCACCCCAATTTCGCATTAATACATTGTGAAGTTTAGAGATAGGTAATACTATGGAACGCTACTCTAGTAAGGAGACGGTTCACCATTTATTTTTAAATGATGATATGTATTGAAAACAATAACTTGGAAACCAGTAGTCTGCTTCTTGATCGCTTGCAAAATTCTTTAATAACATTGCAAAAATGTCTCCATTCTTTTTCATTGTAAGTTATCGACAGATAGGATATGTATCTATCTCTCACTTTTTTCTTTCCATTCTTTTTCTCCTCTGCCTCTCCTTTATTTTGTTTTCATTTTGTTATTTATTTCGCCTTTCCCAAGGTGACAGACTTTAAGATCTTCCCGTGCGGCTAGTTAGGTCACTGCCCACGATCCATCATCGAAGACTTCTTCACCTTCCCTGCGAAGTCGAGCGGTGCGGAGGTCTTTGAACACTTTTAGACCACACGAGGACTTCCTTGGATGTCTTTCAAGTTGGCAGAATAAAACCGTGGTGAATAAATTTGCATATCGTATCTCGTGTCAGTTTTCGAGTTCGAAGATCCGTTTGCTTTTCAATGTGTTTGGAATGCGACAGATGTATTTTCATTGTAGGTTGCCGGCTGAATGGGGTAGTGGTTGAACTAGTTCGGCAGATTTAACAGTGTTGTTTCAAATTCGAACTACAGTTATTTTAAATACGATTACAAACATAAAAAGTTAATATTTATGGACACCATTCCTCAACGGCGAGCTGATAAAATGCTAGTAAGATTTTATTACACATTTTTGTATCTTTATCTTAATAGTGATTTTCATACAAGTAAACAATTAGTGAAGATTCGTAACTGTAGAATTCGTAATGAAATATTGAAAAAATATGTTTACATTAAGGAAATTCAAGTGTGAGGACATGACGTTTGATAATTCCATGGCGTTAAAACTGTTTATTGGATAATCTGCTAGTTAATTGGTTTTTCTTAGTGTTTTGATCTGTACTATACTACCACAAACCTAATGGAACTAGGAGAGTGTGACATTGAAGCTGTGACACTATCGTAAATGAATTGCGATCACTCGTAATTTAATTCAGTTTTAGCGAGATGAAGAACAGTATTGCTAAATGTTACTTCTTTCTCAGAAACGCCAGTGACTGCACGTTTCGTAGTCCTGGCTTGAGGCGGTTACGTCGCATAGCGTGTGCATCTGTATACCCGTTACGCAACATCACGTCGCTCAATTGCCCCCAGGAGCTGGTTTCTGAACGTTATGCATCGCTTTACCAGGTCCAGTTTTCTCTCAAACCGTGTTCCTGGGTATCCGCCCGCTTTGTCTCCAAGTCTTCTTTCAATAGCATCTTCACCTTCTTCTCTGACTTGGCCCTGGGTTTCGCTCCCTACCTCATCGCCGTCGCCGTTTCCACTTTCCGATCCAACTTCATTATTCCAATCTTCATTACCGCCTATGACATATCTTTGTTTCCACGCTTCGGCATCCAAATCCCTTTCTCACGTTTACGCCACCTCCGCCTCTGCTATTCCTACCGCAACCTTCGTCACTTTCTCCAGACGTCATTCATCGACTATTGCCAAACCCGCTGCCTCGCATACAGCATACTATCGCATCTTCTCACTTTTAACAGGTTGTTAATCGTCGCTAGGAGCTTTTCGCCAAACACCGCACTATCTTCCCAGATCTTCATCTACTCTGTCACTTCCTCCTTCACCACCTTCCTTCCTCTACCGCCTTCGCGGTCGGTCAGACCTCCATTCTCTATCAGCGCCTTAGACACATATCTTTGCTTACTCTTCATTTCCATCTGGTGTTCGTCTCCACTTACAACCTCGCGCTCTCCCGTCTCCACCATTGTTTTTGCTACCAGCCTCTCCTGCGGGCGTCACGCTTCGAATATTACAGAACCCGCCCCCTCCACACACCACCGCCCCTCCTCACTTTTCGCGCACGCTGCCTCTATGAGCCCTTCGCCGAACTCCGCAGCATTTTCCAGGATGCGAACTCGCGTCTCCGGCTTCTCTGCCTTCGCCTCATTCACCGCCATCACATTCATCCCTGCCTCCACCACCCTACACCTTTCTCGACACTATCTCTGGCTGCTCGTCTTCATTTTACTCCCACCTTCATCCCATCGCCCATCCTCGTGCCCACGCAACCTCCACATCGTCTATTCTTATTACAACCTCTGCTATTCCCTCCAGCTTCGTATCGGGATTGAGGGTTCAGAGTATCAACTGATATCACTGCACTCCCTCGGACCGGGAGGTTCTAGATTGGAGTCCCGACGGTGGCAGGATTTTCGACTCTACCTTCTCGAATGCAGTCAGGAGGAGAATTCTAGCGGCCGGCTGCTCTGATCAGTTTTCAGTGGTTTCTCCTATCAATATCAGGCGAATGCCGGAGCAGTTCCCCAACAAACGGGCCATGGACCACGCGCGATCTTTCCCTCCGCTTCATTGTCCTATCCTCACCGCATACACACCCTTTCACTAACGTGCCTTACACTACCACACACGCCGGGAGAAAAAACAAAAAGCTAAAGGGTTTTAAATATATGTAGACATTTTAATGGCGGTATGTTTATTAGTGCTACGTTTATTACAGAATACAAATATAATTTAAACATTATTGCCCAGCATCTATTTATTCTGCTTATGAGCTGTTACACGCAAGACCGCATCTCCTCCCTTTCGTGCAGGTGGTCATCCGCGTCAATAACCACTTCTCCCAACCCCGCACCATTTTCCCGGATCCGCGCTCGCGTCTCTAACTCCTCCTCCACCGCTATCTCCTCCTCCTCCCCGTCGCCCACCGCCGCCGCCGCAAAAAACTCCTGGGGCGGCCTCCGCTAATGAATTCCGCCCGTCTCGCGAATTATTCGGCAGCCGGCGCGCGGCAGTGGCTTTGCGTACCGCGATCGTCTTTTTGTTACCGGCCAAATCGCCGCTCATTAGCCGACACGCCACGCAGCGCTGCCTCCGCCTCCCTCCCGCCTGCCCGCCGCCGCGCCACCCCGTGCCCACCCACGCCTCCCCCGCCGCCGCCTCGTGCCAAAAGCGCCGCTCAGCAGCGCTCCGCCCTGCGCCACCCGCGCCACCCGCGCGCCCCGCGCCGCCCGCCCTGCGCCGCCCGCGTCACTCTTCGTCACCCACGCCACCGCTACCGCTCCGCGCGGTGCCGCTCCGACCGTCGCCTCACGCGGCGCCCGCGCCCACCCGTGCAGCCCCGCCACCGCCTCGCGCCGCCCGCGCCACTAGCGCCGCCCTTACCGCCCGCGCCCCACGCATCGCTCCGCCCAACGCCACTCCACCCTTGTCCCCCCGCACCCACCACGCCTCCCCGCGCCTCGCCGTGTCGCCCCGCGCCGCCCGCGCCTCCACGGCACCCGTGCTCCTCGCCGCTCCACCGCACCGCCCTCTTCCGCCCCGCGCCACCCCGCACCGCCCTGCGCCGACCCGTGCCACCGCGCGCCGCCCAATTCCGCACCACCCCCGCGCCACCCCGCGAAGACCCGCGCCGCCCAGCGCTTTACCGCGCCCCCCACGCCTTCCTGCGCCGCCCCCCGCCTCGCCGTCGCGCTCCTGGGCAGAAGTGGTAGCCCTGCCAGTAAGAGCTATGATGAGGCTGGTCCAAGCAGGGCTGTTTTTGCGGGGGTTGCGGTGTCCCACATTGCTTTGAGTGGGTTTTGGCGCAAGAAATGTGGCAGTCGTTTGCGATGGTTTGCTGGTTGTAATGGAACTATATTTATTAGAAAAAAAACTTTAGAAAAATGTTTTAAATGGAATACTACAGAAATTTTTCAAGTAATTATAAGTAAATCATGTTCAAGATTCTGAGCTGAACAAATAAAAATAAAAAGATCGATTCAAACATTAATCTCGTTTTCATTTCAAATACGTAAATTCTTATCTATAATTTGTACTAAATTGGAGTTCTTTTAGACATTTCGATGGTTTTGTAAACGAGCTTTTAATTATAGGTTTCCCATCACGTCATCTTTTAGTTACATTCAAGTATTATACAAAAATTAAGTATAAATATTATTAGGTCTACTTGATGATGATTATTTTCTTATTATAAATAATGTACATTGGAGTAGATTCAGTACTGCAAATCACAGGAGATTTTCTTGCGTGCTCGCGACTCCCACAGGCGACGGATCTAGGTCGGGTGTTTTTTTTGGGCAGGCAGGTATTAGACCGAATTTCAAAACACTCAGTTTCTTGTTGCGTTCTCGCTCCAGGTTGAAGGCATTTTCATCCGTCAGAGTCGGGCCTTGCGGCGGTAGGCGGCGCTTGTTTTCAGTGCCGGATCTAGACAATTTTCGGCCCGGGGCAAGCTGAACCGCAGCCCCCTCCCCCCCGCCAAAAAATTAAAAATGTAGAAGCCGTTAAAAAAACTATAAGCGTTATTTTTTTGTGTGTGTTATTTAAGGTCGCATCAACTTCTTGGCCATTAGCGACCACTATTGCTTGTAACGGTATGGTAACTGTGAGAATGACACGATATGATGATGATAGGGGTGAAAGGACGAACACAATGCAATCATGTCCGAGGCGGGACTCGAACCCGTGCCCTACTGCCTTTGCGATCTCGGCCACCGGATCGGCCATTATTTTTTTATTTCATTAAATAACTAAAATTACAAGTTCAAGCTAGAAAAAGTTTTTGGAAATATATTTTAAATAATATTTTTAAGTAAAATATTTAGTGATAAAATAATACATTTGCCACAGTGAACTTAAAAAACGCAAAAAAATTGTATTTAGTTAGTGTTTAATAAAATCACTTGTTGAATACCTGAAATAGTAAATATGAATTTCAGTAAAACCTATTGCAATGTTAGCATCATTTGATTCATTTCATAGAGTCCCACCTTATAAATAATGAGTATAGTTAATAATTAATATAAAAAATTAATTCAAAATTTTATGGAATATCAGACTACTGTAGCCTTGTGGCTAACTCTTAGCGTGCTTGATTTCCCGTACACGGCCCCGAGTTCGATTCTCGGTCAGACAAGATTATATCTGCGCTTTCCATGCAGTGTCCCAATATATGTTGTGTGATGAGAAAATTGACATCTCAGGTTGAGAAGACCGGAATACGGCGTGGGGATGTGCTAACCACACGTACCCCCATAACCCACTACCGCGAGGCAGGGTCGTCCACAGTAGGCCTGAGCTCGTTCAAGGGCTGTCGTGCCAAGTACATACATCAGACTACTGTACCGTGACGTATACAATTTCTATAACGATTTTACATTACGATTTTACGTCAAGTACATACAAACATACAGTTAATAATAAAATTGTGAAATGTTAATTAGACGTTTCTTCCTGGATAAACCTCAATTTCTTAAAATGTTGTTGTTTAAAACCTTGGTTGGGGAAACATCGACGAGGGAGGCAGATAAAGAATTTAAAAAAATACTCGGAAGGTGTTTTTAAGGAATATCGAAATATGCTCGTCCGCAAGCTACTATTCTGATTTGTAACAGCCACCTAATACCCTTGGCCTCGTCCGCCATTCTAATTGACGTTTGTCTGGGTTTACTAAAATATTCTCTCAAAACGGCTCAAATTAGCTCAGAGACAGACTTTGTGACCTTAGGGTTTGAAACCGGCTCTCTTTATATCACAAGAGATTTGAAGTAGCGATCAAATGGCAATGATAATTTACTTAAACGATATGTCGTATTCAGCTAATTTCATTTAGATAGTACTATCATTGCATTTCCCAATCCAACGTGAGATGTCAGTTGCCATTAAATGCCCGAACCCCTGTATTGTATTTATAATTAGGTAAATGTCGGTTTATTAAAGTAATTAGGCAAAAGATAAGACTTTATAACCTTAACCTCATCAGAAATTAAATTTCATTGTTATTATTATTGTTATAAAAAACGCGGAGAGGCGGATATCGTTTGGTTGCACGTGAAGCCTCTGACGTGATGTACACTCACCGACATCTCTTTATTTTTAAATTTACAATTAACTTCATTTCGTGATGGTGTTTCACAGTTAAGTCTTCGGTTCCTTCAGGTGTGTGTTGGAATTCCATACGGCACAACAAAATGACAGACATTGACTCTTTGACCATTAATATCAGAAAATTCAATTGAGAATCTCTAAGTGATTAGAGATGAAAGAAACTAGTAGAGGAGGTAACTCTTTCTCAGCCTCGGCGATGAGGGATTTTTAGGGTATATTCGGTAAATAAGATATCTGTTTTTTGCGTGGTTAAAAAATTAAAACGCCATGAGATGGAGAATGTACGTAGTTTTCGAGGGAAGGTATTTTTAATTCGGAGTGGAGAGAGATATTTCTTATACGCAAACCAAAGCTCTTTCCCAGCTATTCTGAATATTTCATTTCGCAATGTTTGCAATTTTCGTAGATGGATGGGAGCGATATTATACCAAACTGGGCAAGCAAGGCTCTTCACTCATGCTGAAAAAACTATTTCGAAATTATTGCCTAAATGGTGAATACCGTCTTCTTGGACGATAAGTCGCAGCACAGTAGCTGATATACTTGATCATGCCTATGTTTTCGTCCAAGATTTCGAATACAAGAACTGATGAAAGACTTTTTACGTTCATATGGAGTGCCACACCTTGGCAAGTTCATAAAAGTGACCACTTCTGCTGGCACAGTAAAGAGATTTTAACCGTCCAAATTTGACTGAACGTTTAGATGTATGTGACAGCTAATTAAGGTGATTCTTCGATATTAAAATAATATATACAAATATAATATTTAAAAAAATTGTCGTCTTACATCAAATCCATTGGAAGAAATCTAAAAAAATCAGGTTATAATAATTTAATGTCACGTTCCTACATGTCTGTGTTCGTTTTGTGAACATACGTCCATTTCTGGTAGTTAGTAAGTTTCCTCTTCCTGAATTATTAAATACTTATTTTGTTTCTATGTCTTCAAGCAGGTGATAGGAGGTTTAGTCTGCAGACTATGAAAACTTTTTTCTTGATTGATAAAAATCATCGGATTAATGAAAATTATCGGTTGATTTTTGTAATTG